GATATAGCTTTAAAGGAGCCATCGAGATTAAAGGCGGTTGCGTTAAGACAATGACTGGAGCCATGGGTAGATGATAGAACCAAATCTATGTCATAAAGCAAGAATTTTACCACATAGGGCAGATAAACAAGACCATTTTCCTTCAATTCACCTGGGTAGGTGTATTAGGCTGCACCGAAATAATGCAAACAACAAGCCAACCATCGTAATTCTACCAGCTCTCAAGGATGGTACGTAAAATCGGATGTTTCGGGAGTGCATTACAATGAAGACTACGCAAGCGGATTATCGTTTATGATGAGTGGAAACTTGCGTCAATTTAATCTTACTTGCAGGCGCGTGGGTACCATGTCGCGTCCTAAAATGGCTGGAGTTATCGTGAAGTAATTATGTTTCCCAAATAGACCACAAGTGGGTGGCAGAATTAATGAGATCTCAAAAAATGTTTTCTTATACTACGTAAACTTTTGAAATAGATATTCTTAATTACCGGACTAAAAATCTAACTGTACAGTGTCCGTTGCACCTCGATGGGATTATGTCCATGTCTATGATTTTTCATTCCTTCCATTGAAAAGACCAAAAATCCCTTATTTTTTACCTGATACAAAGTCAAAGCATCAGAGAAGACATGTAGTCTACAAGTTCTGTGAAACTCTGCACACTAACAATAAACCATACTTCTGCGCCTGTAGACTTAGTGCGGCACTAAGAACACCCTAGAACTCTACGTTTTTAAGGTTGACAACATTACAGCTCCAAATTGAATGAATGATGAAAATTAATAGTAAAAAACTTCACAATTTTAAATCCACAGGTTTCTACTAACTGATGATAAGAGTAGTGCGTATGAAGCAGAAAACCATGTTGCGAGACAATATGTGAAAGACGACATGGAAAAAGCAGATTCATCAAGTTTGTTTTAAACAGCATAACTCTCTCACTAGAATCCACGCAAAGGGAGACAATAACGAAAAATGCGACGATTCCTATTATAACTGAAACGAATGGTGTGTTTGATTAGAAAGCCTGCAATATATGGGGTTCTAATGATGTCGTTAGACTTACCTGTGCTCATTGGTTTAGCCTGCCTAACCTTTTTTATTGGAGATTGATGCCTTGATTGCGGATGCAGTGTAGCACCAGACGAAGATTTACCTTTGATGTCAAAACTTTAAAGAGCTCTAAATTGAAGTTTGATTTTAAATTCTAATACAATCGCCGGTTGCATCGTACTGTAGGGAGTTCCATAGGGAAGAAAGTGGATAGTTATTTTGTACCCCAGTATTGTCCAAGTACCAAATGATTTGTGCAGCATGGACGGAATTAAGTATTTGTCATGGGCTTCCTAAAGTACGTTTTACTCACTGAGGCTAGCGCTAACACAATACGTCATTATTTCCCACAAGACACTGCCTTACCATCATCATTCCTATTTAAACGCTGTGTTGCCAGCAAGAAACGGCTCATTACTGGCCATCAAACACCGTTTCTGTTTCACTAGTCGTTTCGTAGTTTCCAACTTCCTAGTCTGAATTCATGTCTGTCATGTCAATGTGGGACAAGATGAGGATAACGATGAGGACAAGTCGCTGCTGCAGGTCCTCCCCTCAACTTCCACCCCTCCCCCATTATATGTATGGAGAAACTCTCACGGAGAGATTATTCGTGCATCTGCCTGGGGTGGAGATGCATTGCTCCCCATTGTGCAAAAACAGGGCCTTCCTTCCTCCCAGGGCTTGAAATCACTAGTTCGGCTTCGTTTATATTCTCATTCAGAAGTCTGCCTTTTGCACGTCCCAGTTGCATTCCATTCCATCTTTGTGTACCGTATGACATCGTGTCTAGTAGACTACTCTCAGCCACAATCGTTCTGTCAGCAAATGGATGAGTATACGCAGCCAACAATTTCATCCATATTCCACCAATTAGCATCCAAGCTCAATCTTAAAAGTATAAATGATTATGAGTAGCACCAGTGTGCACCAATCTTTTGCAAAGGTAAGGGCCACATGATTTATTTGCAGATCTGCCGAGTTCATTGCTATTCGAGTAACAAACTAATGTTGTGGGGCCCTCTTTCTCTACTTACGCTGTCAAAGCTGCCATCCTGCTCTGAATTTATTCAAAGGCTAATCCTAGGAAAATGTGAATTTTATAGCTCTCATGTAGAATTTAAAAGCCACAGAGTCCTTAACAAGCATGCATTTTTATTTCCAAACCAGGGATTTATTGTTTTCATAGCATAAACAAGTGAATAGGTTATAATTTTTGAAGCATCCTCGCAAATATTTTTCTCGAAAATGAACTCCTCTCAATGTTGTACCCTTATTACGTGAAAAACAGATCCTCTAAGTTTACATTTCGCCATTGGTGGGAGCTTATCGCCTCCTAGAGAAGGTGGTCAGTTAACTTATTTAGGGATTATCAGTTGAACAGAAGTTAGGGGATAGGGGGTGAGAAAAACAGCTGTTGCCTTCACAATTCAAAGTGTATCCGGTATCTTACAATCTCATTTTGAAACCCTCGAGCTAATTTCTGAGATAGAAAGCTCTTGACAGAAGTTCATCAAGAGTTCTAGTATTAGGACTATTTCCTTGAACAAAGTAGTTTCTAACCATACATTGTGCCCTGTCTGCGGAATCCATGGGTGAAGGGGGATTTTCTATAAATATTGTTATTGCAAAAAATAAACTTTCGGTTAACTCGATGACAACCACAAAAATTGGATACTACCATTTGCAACCCAAAAGAAGTACATAGATCTGGCCTATTAGCCTCCAGATAATCAGATGTAGTCCTCAAAATTTTTTTGCATTTTCTCTATTTTCCTTGCAAAAATATTTGGATAGATCACTTCGTAGATCCTTTGAACTAATTCTTCTTCGGTCTAAGCAAAACTTTTTCTTTAGACACTCTATTGCAAAATCATCCAAATCAAGGTTACTCTCACATCAAGCTGTAATCATATGCAGATTGGAGCGATACCTCTAAAGGTCGTCTTGGCGTAAACAAGAGTTGATAAACAATTTCTCCTTTACAGAGCTGTCTACCTTGCTCTCATTTGTCAATGAAAAGGTCACCTCTCTGTGAAGTGAACTTAGCATTTTTATTCAAGGAAGGCAGCAGTTAATGCCAAATTAACCACTAGAGGTTAATTATTTGACACCACGTAATGCGCAGCCACACTCTGAGGTTGTGAGTTCAGTAGCCTACAGGTTTTATGATGATTGTTGTACATACAAGGCAATCATATTCCAAGCATGTGAGTGAGCAGTAGGTGGAAATTGCATTTACCTTCCACATAATCCACTGTTGCATTTATTGCATCCAATTCATCGTGATACTGAGGATGAAGTCGAATAAGCCAACATGGGTTTATCAAACACGTGAGTTAAATGTACCAGTACCACTTCTCCGGTTTGCTGCAGTGTGGATATGGTGCGGAGAGCAATGCATGCACGTTCACTATCTCGAAGTGATGAGTAGCATAAATCAGAGCGTATTTTTATGCATTAGGTCTTAAAGGATACGGCGATCAGGTCTTAATCTTTCATTTAAAAGGGTCTGCATTTGTATTCTCCTCATTTTTTGTAGACTGCCTGGGAAACTTAGTTTTCAACTCAAATGTTTGCTCAGCATCATTTGATGCGGGTGATTTAAATGTCAAAATTGTGTCTTTCCTATATAAGTGCTCCTGGCTGTGCCTCGGAACGTGGGCCTTCAATCCACCTAGCACAACACTGTGTTGC